TATGGCATCTACACGAAACTTCGCTTCCACTGCCAGTAGTAAATCCCTCACGGTATGCCGACAGATGGTCGGAACTAGGTGTGTTAATTTCAACATTGAAGTTTGCATAGAATTCTCATACCAAGTTTTCATAGACGGGGTGTGGTCTCTCGATCACTTTCTCCCAACCAAAGTTTCGAATTAAGTAAACCAACTCAAAACCTGGAAAATCATCAAACTTGACTGATCTCTTGGGGATGAGTGCCCATTCACGGACAATATTAGCATAGCGGGCTACTTGGTCCGAAGATAGAAAACGTCGGACACCCCCCTCGGGCTCTCTAGTCTGGGCAGTGCGAGATGTGGAACCAACCTTTTCCTTTCCTTTTGATGTTCTCTTCGGAGGCATCCTGTAAAGGAAAATGAATAGCATTTAGTAAACTTCATTTTGAAAAACGATAGGAGGAATGAGATTAGCAAGTCAAGTATTTCACAAATCCCCCAAACTTGCTTCAACATGCATATAGAATGCCGTGGTGTGCACTTATCAAAATATTATACACAAGGTACAGGAAATAGAATGCCAAGATGAAAAACTGGAAATTTAGGCCGAAATAAGCACATTTTAAAAATTGGACCCATGACCGAGTGCACGTGTTCAACCTCGAACATCATCGAAAAATATCAAAATTTTCCTGGGCATATGAAAGTATTCAATGAGATCTACCACATATTCAAATTTCAAAGTAAATGGACTTCATTTGGTATGCCAAATAATGGTGAAAAGTAAAGGACATAGGGTGCCGTGATATGCCGTGACCTAGCCATGTGCCTACGTGTTGCAAAATGGATGTGATGTGATACATGGCCTTGCAAGTGGTTGTGAATGTGGTAACATGAAAATGTCAAGAAAACATGCTCAAGAACGTATAAGGAAGGGAAAATAACAATTTACACACAAACAGAGCGCAAAACAACTAAACTGTGTCAAGTGACTCGTGAGTAAGTGTGCGCTTTCACCCCCGGACATCATCGAGAAAACTTGAATTTTTCCCAAGCAACCTCTAGGCATATGAAAGTATGTGGTGTAGAGTGACACATATTCAAATTTCATGTGCATTGGGTGTCGTATGGGCACTTAACGCAGGAGACGAAGTGCGTGCGGTGAAGTGACATGAGCCTAACATGTGTGTCGAATTGTGTGTGGTTTAGCTCAATTTCCATGGCATTTGATTGTAATGTGTAGGATAGTGTATATATTTAGATTATCAAATGCAAGATTCCACATAATGCACCATGAAGTTCGAGAACGAATTTTATCGAACAGGTAACACTCATTCATTGTGAACCTTATAAAACACCGAAAGTGTGATGTGCCATCAATCCAAAACACAATCCAAGTTCAACATTCACAAATCCAACAACTACCTAATGCCCATTCTCCACAAACAAGTTCAAAGATTAATATCGCATGACCAACAAAAGTAGAGGAAAGTACATAGAGGTAATAGGAAAATGAACTCACCTTGAATTCACTATGGAGGCATGGAGTGTCGATATATATGGGGATAATGGGGGGAGTGTAGTGAAATAAGGGAGTGATTCGTGTGAGAATGTGGTGTGTGAAGTTGAGAGTGTGTGAGGCAAGAAAGGGGAAAATGAGAGAGTAATGGCTCGATCATGGTTTAAAACCATGACCGAGATCTACTATGCGGCCTCATAGTACTAATCTATGCGGTCGCACAGTAATAAAAATTTCCCTAAATATATGTTCGGCTACTGTCTATACTCGCATAGACATTATGTCTATGCGATCGCATAGACCAATTTTTTCTCTCTCTTTTTTTAAAACGTTCTTTTATCTAAAAAAGCATGAACCATGCTTCCAAACACCCAAAATCATTTCAAACTCACCGACTATGTGTGTATTGCCTAGAAAATTATGAGGATGATAATTCGATCCAATTAACATGCATGTACGACCGATGACCTAGAAAAATGCAAATACGAAAATGAAATAATTCTAAAAATAATGTGAAAAGTAAGCTAATAGAAGGATACAGTAGGTTGCCTCCCACCCAGCGCTAGATTATAGTCGATAGCTCGACTTTACCTTATTGCGTCATTTTGGTGGTCTAAAATGAACGGTAGACTTTTCCTTCGAAAAATCATCGCCTCAATAGTGCTTCAAACACTGTCTATTGACCTTGAATATCTCCTTGCTATCGTGAGTGATCTCAACTCCCCCATGTGGAAAAACCTGTGTAATAGTATACGGACCAGACCACCTCCATCGTAGCTTACCTGGAAACAGCTTAAGTCTAGAGTTGTAGAGTAGCACTTTTTGCCCCACCGTAAATTCACGCCTCTGAATGTACATATCATGTCATTTCTTGGTGCGCTCTTTGTAGAGTCTTGAATTCTCGTAGGCTTCCATTCTGAGCTCATCCAGCTCATTAAGTTGTAGTAGACGTTTTTCACCAGCAGCCTTCAAATCCAAATTCAATTTCTTCATTGCCTAGTAAGCATGATGCTCTATCTCAAGAGGTAAGTGGCATGCTTTCCCAAAAACCAGTTGATATGGAAACTTTCCTATAGGGGTCTTGAATGCAGTCCTGTAGGCCCACAGGGTGTCGTCCAGTTTCTTAGACCAATCTTTTCGTGACGAGCTTACTGTGACTTCAAGTATTCGCTTCAATTGCCTATTGGACACTTCGACCTGTCCGCTGGTTTGGGAATGATATGTAGTGGCTACATGATGTTTAACGTCATATTTAGCCAACAATTGTTCAAACTAATGATTGTAGAAATGTTTGCCCCAGTCACTGATTATAGCCCTCGGTGTGCCAAAGCGGGTAAAAAAAAATTTCTTTAGAAACTCAATCACCACCTTCCCATCATTGGTAGGCATTGCAACGGCCTCTACCCATTGCAATACATAATCCACAGCCACTAATATGTACTGATTAGAGAAGGATGGGGGGAATGGACCTATGAAGTCGATCCCCCATACGTCGAATAGTTCCACCTCCAAGATACTGTTCAAAGGCATTTCGTTACTCCTGGATATATTACCGGTCCGTTGACAACGGTCACACCTCTTCACGAATTCAAAAGCATCCTTAAACAATGTAGGCCAGTAAAAACCTGATTGAAGGATCTTCGCCGTTGTTTTTGAAGCACCAAAATGCCCTGCATATGTAGATGAATGACAATGTTCTAATATCAAAGGCGCTTCTTCCTCAGGTACGCAGTGACAAACGATTTGATCAGTCCCCCGCCTATAAAGAATGGGGCCCTCCCAAAAACAATACTTCAATTCAGCGAAAAATTTCTTCTTCTGGTGACTGGAGTAATCAGGCGGCATGATAGACCTGGCCAAGTAGTTAACTATGTCCGCATCCCAGGGTGCCTCCTCCACACCAAAAATCTGTTCATCTGGGAAGACTTCATTGATTTCCACTATCTTGTCTATTTTGTGGTCTCGAGTCGAGACAAGTGGTCTGCCACCATGTTTCTACTGCCCTTCTTATCCCTAATTTCCAAGTCAAACTTTTGAAGTAACAGTATCCAATGAATGAGACGTGGCTTTACATCCTTCTTTTCCATTAAGTACTTGATAGCAGCGTGATCTGTGTAAACAATGACCTTTAACCCCACAAGGTATGATCGAAATTTGTCAAAGGTGTAGACTGCGGCAAGGAGCTTTTTCTCTGTAGTGGCATAATTGAGTTGAGCGTCATTCAAGGTCTTACTTGCATAGTAGATCATGTGAAATATCTTATTTCTTCATTGTCCCAATACTGCCCCAACAACAAAATCACTGGCATCGCACATTAATTCAAATGGCAGGTTCTAATCTGGTGTGATGATCACGGGTGCTGAAATCAACTTCTCTTTCAAGCTGTTAAAAGCTAGCAAACATTCATCCATGAACTCAAATGTAGATTCCTTCATCAATAAATAGCACAGTGGTTTAGTAATCTTTGAGAAATCCTTGATGAACCTTCTATAGAAATCGCCATGCCCGAGGAAACTACGAACACCTTTCACTGATGTAGGTGGTGATAATTTCTCGATCCCCTGAATCTTTACTCTGTCCACTTCAATACTCTTTTCTGAGATTCTGTGTCCTAGCACGATTCCTTCCTGTACCATAAAGTGGCATTTTTCCCAATTCAATACCAAGTTAGTCTCCATACACCGCTGTAGCACAAGACTCAAATGCTCCAAGAACTCATCAAACGAAGACCCGAACACTAAGAAGTCATTCATGAATACCTCATGAATTTCTCAATCATATCTGAGAAGATAGCCATTATACAGCACTGAAAAGTTATAGGAGCATTGCATAAACCAAACGGTATCCTATGGTATGCAAAGGTACCGTAGGGACAAGTGAAAGTTGTCTTCTCCTAATTGTCAAGTGCTACTTGAATCTGATTATACCCGGAATACCCATCTAGAAAATAGTAATGGGAATGCCCTGCTAGTCTTTCTAGTATCTGATCAATGAACGGTAGTGAAAAGTGATCCTTTCGAGTAGCAGCATTTAGTTTGCGGTAATCGATGCAAACTCTCCATCCAGTCACTGTTCGTGTAGGAATCAACTCATTTTTCTCGTTTTCTATCACTATGATACCCCCTTTCTTGGGAACAACCTATACTGTACTGATCCATGCACTATCTGATATTGGATAGATGGTGCCTGTGTTGAGCAACTTCAATACCTCAGCCCTCACCACTTCCTTCATGTGTGGATTCAATCTTCGCTGACCATCAATGCTTGGTTTGAATTTTTCCTCAATGAGTATTTTGTGCATGCACAGTGACGAGTTGATCCCCTTGATATCTGCAATAGACCATTCAATGGCTATTTTATTCTCCCTTAGCATCCGAAATAGTTTCTCTTCCTCTACTTCACTAACAGTACTTGAAATAATAACTGGAAGTGTAGAAGATTCCCCCAAATAAGCATATCGAAGGTATGGTGGCAATTGCTTGAGTTCCAATTTGGGAGGTTACTGAATAGATGGCACTGACTTTGTAGTCCTAGTTCCCAGCTCTTCGAAGTAACTTCTGCGCATGTATGGTGGATTGGTTTCCAGAAACCATGCACATGTTTTAATCTCACTTGAATCAGTGTGAGTGGATTGAGAATGTGCAATGCACGCCTTGTATGCATCAGAAGGATGATGTAGCCGAAATGTATCTTGAATTATTCTATCAATTACATCGATCTGAAAACAGCTGTCTGACTCGGTAGGGAATTCCATTGCCTTGAACACGTTGAAAGAGATTTGCTCTTCGCCAAGCCTCAGTATAAGATGCCCTTTCTGAACATCGACAATTACTCTTTCAGTAGCTAAGAAAGATTGCCCCAATGTGAGTGGAACATCCTTATCTTCCTCCATATCTAAGATGAGAAAATCGACTAGAAATATGAACTTCTCCACTTTTACCAACACGTCTTCAATGATCCCTCTTGAATGTGTAAAGGATCGATCTGCTACCTGTAATGTAACTGTTGTGGCCTTAGCTTCTCCTAAGCTGAGTTTCTTGAAAACAGAAAGAGACATTAAATTAATACTTGCACCTAAATTACACAACGCTTTATCAAAATGACAATTTCCAATAGTGCAAGGTACAGTAAAACTCCCTGAATCCTTTAATTTTGGAGGCAGCTTTCTCTGGATTCTAGCACTGCATTCCTCAGTTAGCATCACTGTTTCATTTTCTTCTATCTTTTGCTTGTTGGAGAGGATATCCTTGAGAAATTTCGCATAACTTAGCATTTGAACAAGTGCCTCAGCAAATGGGATGTTGATGTGTAATTTCTTGAAAACTTCAAGAAACTTACTATATTGCTGATCCAATTTCTACTTTTCAACCTCTGTGGGAATGGAATAGGAGGCTCATGAGGGTTGATAGGAATGGCAGCTGTACCCCGTGATGTATTGGAATTCTTCTTGACCACATCCCCTATTATTTGTTCAGTCTGTTCCATAATTTCATCATCTGAGGTTGGTGCTGATTCCTTGCTAGCTACCAATCTTTTTACATATATCTCTGGCAGTTGTACTTCACTTCTGGTTGTTATAGCCTTTGCGTGCTCCTTAGGGTTGATTTCAGTGTTGCTGGGCAAGTTTCCTGGTACTCTACCCGTCATGGAGATTGACATCTATCTCATTTATGTTTCCAAATTGTTGATTGCTGCACTTTGGTCTGGAAGAGTTGCATCTATTTTTCGTATAAACAGGTTGTTGGCTTCCATATACCGATTGGTTGTTGCCATGAACTTCTCAAACATCTCTTCCAATGGTGGCTTTTTATCCTGTTGCTGATATTGACCTTATGACCTGTTTTGATTCTGATTACTCCACGAGAAGTTTAGGTGTTTTCTCCAGCACTGATTGAAGGTTTTCGAATGTGGGTTGTTCTGTTGGCCTTGACCCCATTGCACAAAATCTGTATGTTCGACCCTTTGTGCGAGAATTGGACAATTAATAGTATTGTGGTCTGCTCCACACTCTTCACAGCTAGGCTTCTTGACTTGTTTTGCAGTGGCGATCTGTGAAATGCTCTCAACCTTATGGAACAAAGAGTCTATCTTTGCAGACAATGCTATGTAAGTATCTACTTCATAAACCCCCGGCGTTCTCTTCTGAACCACTCGATCTGTAGACCACATGGCTGAAGTTGTAGCCATTCTCTCAAATAGCTCCCATGCTTTGTCAATTGTTCTTGTGGAGATAGACCCGTCAGATGATGAATCCACCATGCTCTTGAAGGATGGAAGTAGTCCAGTGTAGAAAAATCAGATCTGTGTCTTCTTGTCAAAGCCGTGTTGCGGACACTTCCTTAACATATTTTTGAAATGATTCCATGCCTCTTCAAATGATTCGGACTCACATTGGTTGAATATAGAGATATCATGTCACATTTTGGATACCTTAGCTGGCGAGAAGAATTTGGTGCAGAATTTGTGGGCTAGCTTGTTCCAAGTGGTGATGCTTACGACGGGATGTGAATCCAGCCATTCAAGTACTTTATCCAGTAAGGTGTGTGGAAACAACCGCAGTCGTATAGCATCATCCGAGATACCCTGGTAACTAAAGTGTTGGCATATATCCAAAAATCGAGATATGTGTGTATGCGGATTTTCACTAGCCATCCCGTGGTATTGATGCCCATTCTGAAATAGTTGAATCACATTTGTTTTTAGCTGGAAATTCGATTGCCCAAATGGAGGATACACAATGCTAGATTGACTTTGAACCACCAACATAGCCATGAAGTCCCCGAGTACTGTATTTGCATCATCTTCAACTGCCATGCCTTCGTTGAGTGGAATTACCGATCGATTTTACTCGTTAGCCATTTGTTGTGCCGCTCTTGCTTCTTTTTGCCTGTAACGAAATGTGCGTTCGATCTCTGGATCTATGAGAACCAAGTCTTGATCAGGTGCTCCTTGCATACAAGCCCTGAGATAGCAAAATTAAAACAAAATTAAATTGAAGTAATAATAAATTAAACCTAGTAAGTTGACTGCTACTAATCTAAATAAGTTCGAACTAGTGTCACAAAAGATAAAATTAAAACTAAATTTCAATCCCCGGTAACGACGTCAAAAACTTGTTCACGAAATTATTTGTTTCGATTCAAAACCCACCGCAAGAGTACAGTTTGTTAACAAGTAGTAAAATGGACTATGAGTCCAAGTATCGATCCCACAAGGATTGAATTAGTTCAAATTAACCTATTATGACCTTAACCGAATCACAAAAATCAAATTGAGGTTTTGTACTTTAACTAACAAGATGTAACCTTTGATGCAAGTATGAATTAAGAATTATACTAAATGCAAAATAACTTGGATGCAATTCACTAGAATTTTATGGAATTAATGGATATACTAACGCACTAGGATCATGAATCCCCAAGCAATACCCATTCAATTGTCAACTATGCAACTTTGACACGCAGTTCCACAAAAGATGAATCAATATTCCTATTTTAATTTAGCAATCTCTCTCGAGCAATGCCAAACCTATCCTAATATATGATTCGACTATATTTCTATGACGAATACTAACAGACCGAAATGCATTATAAATTCACGAATATCCAATGATTCACATAAGGCATAGAGATATATTTCTATCCCCTATCGGACCCTATGATGACTTATACTATGTCGAACCTATTTTCCTTCTTTCGAATGCATAAAACAGGCCACCACAATCATATAATTATGTGTACAACAATCATATGAAAATAAAAATGTAATAAATCAATCAAATCCGGAACTTGTGTTCAAATACGTCAAAAATCCAAGTCAACAATCAAACGTAGTATTACAAGGTTCATCGATCTCCTAGCAATGATAAATCTAGCCTAACATGCTAAAAAGAAGAAAACACAAAAATATTTGAAGAAACGTCATCACCCGAATCAATCTTCAATCCAATCTTCACTTGGCGCGATGTTGTTCTCTTATTTTATCCTTTATTTCTCCTTCAAATTCTCTCAAAAACATGTAAAAAATGGCGTCCCCTCATGTTCTGATCGAGTTTTTGTATTTATAGGACCCTAAAAATATTGTTTCTATAAGAGTTTTGGCGGAAAAAGGAAACAACAATTTTACCCTAATGTTGCTCTATGCGACCGCATAGAGCAACTCTATGCGGTCGCATAGAGTAAATTTTTGGTGCCTTTTTGTCTTTGGTATGCTAGTATGCGACCGCATAGATGGTAGCACTATGCGGTCGCATAGTACTACCAACTATGGCAGATGTGCGTTTTGGTCCTCCCACTTGCATCCTTCACTTCTTGGCATCTTCTCTTCATTCTTTTCATTTCATCATCCCATGATATCGTCAATTGGCAATTGGCTTAATCAATTTCTCTATTTGTTCATCTGATCAACTTTTGGATATTTTCACTTTAGTCCCAAACTTTCACTTTGCATCATTTTAGTCCTTTTTTGCGCTTTTCTCCTGAATTTCACCATGTTCATCTTTGTTCCCTAAAATTCACAAATGTATGAGATTAAGTCACAATTCAATCATTTTCCTTATTATTAAGTCATGTTTGTGTTCTAAATAAGTGTGCAAAAACACACTTATCAGAGTTCATTCGCCAATGGACCCTCATGGTCTATTGGGCACAAGTCGATGCCTCCTCCATCTTGTTAAAAACAACAATTGTAACATTAACGGACATTAGTTCAATATTTCTAGTTTGCGTATTAGGGAATGAGACGAAAGTATTAAAAATTTTGAATTCCTTATAATTAACACACATAACATTCACTTCCTGGTTCCTACTAGGCAATCGACCCTCATGTTCATCCGAGCATGGGTCGATACCTCCTCCATCTAGTTCAAAATCACAGTTGCAATATTAACAGACTGTCATCGATTCCTAGTTTGGGTACTACTGAAATGACGTTATACTTATTAATCTGAACTTTTAAACTATTAAGTGATTAACGCACATCTTGCTATAAATTTTCATGTACTCTAGGCTCATATGCATCCATCGTAGTTGCAGAGATGGTAGAACCGGATGGGGTCACATGTGTCGATATGAATTCCTTGAGTCTTGGAAATTCAGAAGTCACATGCTGATTGATACTGTTCGGAGTCACATTTCGATGAGGATTCGTTGATCCAACAACAATTTCTCAAATTTCTCTCTCATCAAGGGTGTTCCAAAATTTACAGTTAGGCGATGGGTTGTTGACGGTGCATGCACGTGAAAAGTATGTCTGGGCGCGCAAGGCGTGGAAAACACACCCGTTTGCCCTCCAAGGGTATGTTCACAGTTGCTGTCTCCACTATCACCGTCACTTGACTCGTCGCCGGTGCCATCTCCACTGTTATCATCACTTGACTCTTCATTGCCATTATTTTCACCCGAACGGTCATCACCACCAAACGTCTCATCCTTCGAGTCTCATTTTGTAGTCTTTTGTTCTTTAGCTTCCCCTATAGACAATCCATCATTTCCTTCGCTGTCCACTTGCTGAACGTGAAACTGTGGAGTGATAATATTCTTGGTAATGTCGTCCAAATCAAGTACAGTAGTATCTTCGATAGGCACGAGAGTGGAGATATGTGGTTGATCACGCTCCTCGTCAGTGGGATGCCGTGTCACATGCACGTGTGGCTACGAAAATAGAAATTGAGTGTCCATGGGAATGTATTCTATACAGTTTCCAAATTAAATGATTGATTAGAAATTCAACAAGATCAAATACCTACATATTGTTGAAGAATGCCTCATAGGTACGTTGCTGCGGTTGTTTTGTGGATGTCCAGCTAAGAAGCATTGGCGATCGTTGACCAAGCCTCTGACCAAACCATTCACCAATTTCAAATACCGCCTCAAACGCCCATATTTGTCCCAAAAAAATACCATTGTAATAAGAGTTTCCATACACATGACAATATCTTTGTATTGAATTAATGAATACATCATCAGAAATAATTATTCGTACTTGCATGGTAATGGACAAGTCGTGAATTGTATAACTAATCTCCCTATCCTTCCTTACCTTAGCCTTTTGAAATTTCCTTGCCTACTACCCCTAAATCCCCTTAATAGACGATTGTACCCCACACTATCCCAAAGGTAGTCCAAAAATATGTCCAAGTTATCGGTGATTGACAATATGTCAATATTGGTACCCACATTATTATTCAGAGCATTGAATACTCTTTCGGGAATTAAAGTAAGGTCGAGCTTGTATCGATCAGCTCAGGCATCGACAGTCGGAGAAAAGCCTTCTCCAATTGGGCACATGAAATCTTCTCCATGGATTTGAAGTATTTGTCCTTGAGTCTCCTTTTTTCCATGACCTTAGTAAATTGATCACCTTCCGGAGTGAGACCATATTTTAATCCCTTCACGATCGCATACTCTTGCAGCCTGAACCTAGTCAAGTGCCATTGTACATTGAACCACAATTCTTTTGTCTTATCTGTTCAAATATATCTGAACAATAATTGTTGGATTAATTGGGTTGAGAATTGTATGTCAAGAAGCTCAGCCAGGAATCCAAGGCATGAGTTGCCGACATCTTTCTGTTGTAGATCATCAAAATTCTCTATGATGACTTTTAGGTAATTGAAATTGCTTCTTTGAGAAATGTGGGTGGAAAGC